GTATTCTGTGCTGTTGCAACCATTGTTTTGTTGAATTACTTGTATGCTTTGGGTCATTGTCCTGTTGCATCACCCATCCTCTGCGGAGCTTCAGTTGGCGGACAGATGGTCGTACGTTTTCCTGCAAAATGTCTTGATAAACTCTGGAATTCATTTTCCCATCAATGACAACAATCAGTCCAGGCCCTGAGGCAGCAAAGCAGCCCCAAACCATGATGCTCCCTCCGCCATGTTTCACAGTGGGGATGAGGATTTGATGTTGGTGTGCTGTGCCTTTGTTTCTCCACACATAGTGTTGTGTGTTCTTTCCAAACAGCTCAATCTTGGTTTCATCTGTCCACAGTATATTTTGCCAGTAGTGCTGTGGAACATCCAGGTGCTCTTTTGCAAACTTCAAACGTGCTGCAATATTCTTTTTGGACAGCAATGGCTTCCTCCGTGGTGTCCTCCCATGTACTCCATTCTTGTTTCATGTTTTCCTTATTGTAGATGTGTCAACAAAAATGTTAGCATGTGCCAGAGATTTCTGTAGGTCTTTAGCTGACACTCTGGGATTCATCTTTACCTCATGCAGCATTCTGCGCTGTGCTCTTGCAGTCATTTTTACAGGACGACCACGCCTAGGGAGAGTAGCAACAGTGCTAAACTTTCTCCATTTGTAGACAGTCTGTCTTACTGTGGACACATGAACATCAAGGCTTTTGGAGATACTTTTGTAGCCCTTTCCAGCTTCATGAAAGTCAACAATTCTTGATCGTAGGTCTTCTGAGAGCTCTTTTCTGCGAGGCATGGTTCACATCAGACAGTGCTTCTTGAAACCAGTAAACCCAAAACAGGTGTGTGATTTTTAAGGGCAGGACAGCTGTCAGCAACACATCCAATATCATCACACTGATTGGAGTCAAGGTTGGCTCACTCCTGGCTCCAATTAGCTCTGGGAGAAGTCATTAAGCTAGGGCCTCACATACTTTTTCCTCCCTTCACTGTGAATGTTTACATGTTATGTGCAATTAAACCATGGCAACATCTAATGTTTGTGTAGTATTATGTTCAGCAGACTGTGTTCTTCTATTGTTGTGACTTAGATGATGTTCAGAGCACATTTTATGCCCAATTCATGCAAAACTCCACGTAATCCCAAGGGGTTCACATACTTTTTCTTGCAACTGTAGATATGATCTGGCAGTTAGATACTGAATGACTGAGAAGGTAAATTTAGCCACACAATGATAGGATCTGTGAATATGTGTGGTCACCACATGAATCCTACTGTTTTCCTCCATACAGTCTGTGTATGGACTATGCATTGAAATGATGGCTTATTGTGAAACTAAAAAAATGAAAAAAGAAATGTTGCCTAATATAATAATGGTATAGAACATTGTTTCTCAACTTTTTCAAGTCAGTATGCCCTTGAAAAGTATATTCAGCCTTGGTATGGATTTTGAGGGGAAACCCAACGCCAAATTTTTTTTTAAAATGTGACCCTGCCCCTTGTGACATCATCAACCGTGGCATGCTGGGTCAATGATGTCACACAGGGGCGGGGTCACAGTTTTTTTCTTGTGAAGGAGTAGTGGTACCATGCACCCCATACTCATTCACATAGAGGGGAGTAGGATCTGGGGGCCCCCTTACTAAAGGGGGCTTCCAGATTCCAATAAGTTCCCTGCCCACAGACCCCCACAACCACTGACCAGGATTGTGGGGAAGAGGTCCTTGTCCCCATCAACATGGGGATAAGGTGCTTTGGGGAGAGCCCCCCTGACCCAAAGCACCCCCTCATGTTCAGGGCATGTGGCCTGGTATGGTTCAGGAGAGGGAAGGGCCCGCTCGCTCACCCCCCCCCCCCCCTTTCCTGACCTGCTGAACTGAATGCTCAGATAAGGGTCTGGTATGGATTTTGGGGGGGATCCCATACCATTTTTTTTTTAATTTTGGAGTGGGGGTTCCCCTTAAAAACCATACCAGACCCAAACATTGCCTGCAATTTTTTTTTACATTCAATGGGGTTCCCCACTGACAGCTGGTGACTCTTAGGTTGTTAAGGACTCCACGGCCACCCATTCCTTAACAACCCATGACAGTGCTGACAGATACCAGTACATACCTCATGCCTGGACCACTACTTATTTAGCACATGCATTTATTTATTTCCTTTTGTGAACTGACTTTAAGGCAGGGGCGGACTGACAACTCATGGGGCCCCCGGGCAATAGGGGATCATGGGGCCCCTGTGTCCTTGCCCAAACTCAAAAAAGCCTATGAAAAAGGTACCAGGGGCATCTCATGGGGCCTACTGACCCCGGGCCCTCAGGCAGTGCCCGAGTTTCTAAATGGTCAGTCTGCCTCTGCGGTATAGTTTAAGGTATTTACCGAATGTTTTTGCTATTTTTGGTAAATACCGCATACTAGCAGTAGTGAATTGACATTTTCAGTATCGCATGTGTCACTTTTATACAGAATATATATGTTAGTTGGAAGATTTCTTTAAAAAAGTCCATGGTGAATTTTCTAGCATAAAGGCAAGAGCACATGGTGAGGCTGGTTTATTAGAGGTTTTGAGTATCTTCTCTCAATCAAATGCAGCTGTGCTCATTTTGAATACTCAGTCATGTACAGATGAAATAAATATATATTTGCCTTTCAAATGACTGGATAGTTGAAGTACATTTTTTACTTGCTTTATTAAGTGAATATGCTCCATTCCTTTAGTAAATCAGCCTTACTGAGTCTACTGGAAGACCTGGAAGAGGAAGTACTCTAAGTGAGACAATCAGTGGAAGCATAGACATATGATTTGCAGACAAATTATACTTTTTTTCAAATCTTATATTCCATATCATCTATAGGAAAGCACTCCACAGAACACACTTTATTTATTTATTTTTTTAATAAAAAGTGGGTTTGATATCCTGCCAGGTCAGCCTTTGACTTCTGTGATCTGTCCTTCACTATGTCACTAGTTAAGGTAACTTATCAGGAGACACATACTGCAAGTAGACTAGAAAGGCTCTCATTGAGATCTTCCTAGCAGGGCTCAAAAGATTTGGCAATGGATCCCATATGGTTATTCACTAAGACTACATGGTGCAAAATCTGGTGCAGGTCTGCATAGAAACCAGCTTCCAGGTTTTATTGCCAGAGCTTAATTGAACAAGCTGACGTTAGAAGCTGATTGGCTACCATGCACAACTGCTCCAGATTCTGAGTGCTCCAGGTTTAGTAAATCGTACCCATTGTGTTAAGTCCTGATTTAAAGAAAATCTATCAATTTCAGTTTGGGGAATGCATAGCTCCAACTGTGTAGTTTTCTCAGCTGTACAATCTCTTTTTGCTATCCTCTGCCTCAGAGGGAGGTTTGCTACCAACATACAGTATGTAGAAAGTAGTCTGTATGTGGGTTCCAGGGTTGCAGAGTTCATTGCATTCAACTTACCCAGGACACAAACATCTAGATACTTACCTATTGTCCACCCTCCTATATTGTAACAAGGATTAATTGACAGACTTTTCTGACAGTAAATCATAGATTCAAAAATCTAATAAAGTTTTATCTAATGAAACACCAATTACACTCACAGTAAGCATAACCGTGTCAATCTATAATTCTTTTTGTCAATGGACAACATAACAGAGTCTGTTACTATCCCACCCTATAACCCAGTTACACTGAAGACCCCCTCCCCACTGCTCTGTTGCACCTTAGAAGCCTCCAAAAAATATATAGTTCTTTTGGATTTTGGGAGAGCATATGATCGCCTCCTAGCATGTGTTGCTTTTTCTTAGGTGGGATTTTATCTTCATGACATCATAGGGGGTGGGTATTTTGGTTCTGTATGTACATTAAGGCATATATACATGCTTTTTTGCATTGCTAGTTGTCACTATATTGCCTAGACGAAGGGATCCTGTGTGGCCCTGAAAAGTTGTCTTACTTCATGGATGTTTCATTGCACTAATAAAAGAGTGTACATATGTTTGCAATGGAATGTTGGTGATATCTCATTGTTTCAGTATGGGGGGAGTTGGCATGCCTAGGCAGGCTGAATTTGCATGCAAACCATCCTGGGTAATGCCCATATGTGATGCTGAGCTTTCATGATTATACAGTAATGCTGGGAGGACAGAGCTAGATAATGTTTTGTGCCCCCCAGTATAAAAGTTAAGTATGGCTGGGAGGACAAAGGTAGATAATGCTGTGTGTCCCCCAGTAAAAAAAAAAAGTTAAGAATACTTTATCTGACTTGCTGCAGCTTCTAATGTGAATAAGAAATATTGGTACAGAAACATGTACAACTTTGCAAGATTGAAAATAACACTGGAGCTCAGTTTTAACTTCTTGTACCTTTGACACTTATATAAGGAATGCGGAAAGCTGTAGCTACAAGGACAGGAAGGCACAGGCAACAATAAAATTCATGGTCAGACAATTTAAACCCTTGCCCAAACAACATATAAATGTGTTTTTTATCTGTGTCCCTGTTGAAGAGATGAGGGGGTTGCCCTAGCTTCATTTTTACAAGGAAACTTAAGGTGGCCATTTGCCCAGCATGTAAGAGATTACTAAATAAAGTCTAAAGATTCTATTTATGAATAGGGAAATGGGAAAAAACAAGGAAGATTTAGCTTTAAATGCATATCTACAGTATGATAACCAAAACCTAAAATAATTAAGGTAAAATATGTATCTGAAATAGTGCAAGAGAGGAGAATTACCATAATGATAATTTTCCTCTGTTAAACAGAAAAAGTTGTGTAGATTTGCACATGATAATTGTCCATATGAGCAAATGCTATTTTGTATACAGAATTTCCCGTCATCATGCTTTGTTTTCTAAAACATAGTTCAGTAATTATAAGAACAGCTTCATCATTGTTATAGTGTCTTATAATTTGCAGCCTTGCAACTGATGATCTCTGCTTGTAATTCTGTGGTTTTCTACATTTGCTTTTGTTGTTTAATGGTAATTGTGCTTTGTCATTATGATTTTTTTTAGAGCTCAACCCACAGAGGAAGCTGGAGTATGGCCAAACAACCAGTTTGAAACCGAGAGACTTCAGGCGATGATTCTGGCGTCCGCTAACGGTCAGTGTTCTATAGCAACATATGGGAGCACAGCATGTTATATTTAATAATTTATAGGCCTGCTATCTGTCCAAGCCAAGCAAATCAGTATTGTTAATTTACGTTGTAAAATAGTTAGGGAACAGTGCAGATGTAGCCGAGTGGTAAGAATTGAAAGATATTACATGATTAGTCATTTTACATTAGAATGACTCTTTCCCTTCCTAAATACTAAATTTATAGTTCAGTCTTCGAGGATGCAAAGTGGACTCATGCCCTTACTTTCAATGTGTAGTAATTTTAGTTTAATACAGAGATCTGTGGACCTTAGTGTCTTATATGCTCCTGTATATGGTGCAGGTTTGAATTTCCCATTATGTCAATTAAGGCACTGTTGTTAAGTCCCACAACATGCTTAGGAGCTAATAATTAAAAATAAAATTATTTGCAGCAATTTCTTTCTTCTTCTTTTTATTTTTCAACTTTTTATTTAGTCAAGAAAATTGGGTTCAACTTAGTATAAGTTAAAAAATTAGTATTTAGCTAGATCATCATAATACGAGGCACATAAAGACATATTTCACAATTATTAAAGACTTTTTCTACTTATCAGCTAACCAAGAAAGCATTCTTTCAAATACAGTCCAGTTCATTCTGCTCTTCGGATACTATCTTGATGCTGGTTATAGTTGTCATGCTTTATTTGTAGAATGCACAGCCAAAATCACTGTTCATCCTATTTAGAAGAAAACACCGTGTTTCATTGGCAAAGCAGCTGCTGGTTGGAGCCTTCAACTGCAACTTCAGCTTCACTTTCTGTCTGTATTACAGTTCAAAAGGTTGCTCCTGCAATGCCCATGCTGCATCATCGGCTGTACCACCTGCATAGTAATATTTCCCAACCATAACTGAAGCTTTCTGTCCCTGTTGCAGCTCTACAGGAACTACATTGGTCATCACATTAATGTTGCTAAACATCCCATAATGACTCCTGGTTATCCGGAAGAGGAGAGAATGATAAAGAGGTTCTTATGTAAGGGGTGATTGGAGGTGCACAGAGGCACAGTATGGAGCACTTAGGCAGCTCATACATGATTCATTTTCTTTCATTCAACATTCAAGGTGGATGAGGGAATCACTCCTGCAGAGCTATTGTATTCTGACAGCAGGGAAGCTTCTCTGCCACCAGAATACATTCATCAGCATTGCAGGCTATGGATGGCAGCACTGATCAAGTGAATATTTTCCAAAAGGTTGGCAGTACGAGAGATCGACTTCTGTACAACCATCCTGTCCATAGATGGATTGAAAGACAGTCCCTCCCAGGGGTGGACTGACCATTTGGAAACTCGGGCACTAGGCTTTTTCGAGTTTGGGCAGGGGACCCCATGAGTTGTCAGTCCGCCCCTGGTCCCTCCTGAACCATCCAAATTTCAATTATCTATGGCCAGCTTTAGATTGGACCCCTGTGGGAAGCAATGTGTAGTGCTACCAAGACAAAAACCCAACCTGTTTAGGTGCTAGTGTACTGTTTGATAGAAACATCATACCTTAAAGGAAGCTTTCATATATAGAAGACAGAACTGTCAAAACACTTGGATAGTAAGCAATGCATAAATCTAACATATAATGTTGTTTCTATAATAGATCTTTTACTTACCACAGCAGAGGAGTGCCTAATGCTGGAGTGCTAAGTTGCCCCCAGTGAGAATCATATATATATATACACAGTATACACATTCACAATAATGACGTTACAAAAGTATTTCTGTAAATACGACCAAATTAAAGTTGTTCCAGCCCATAAAATGACAGTCTTTAGAATAGTCAGCCACAGCATTTGGTGTAGATTTGACCCTTCAGATCAGCTTGTGCATTGTTAAGTAATTTTATTTTCCTATGGTTGCTTGGTTGTAATGTTTTTCTGTGTACTAACATGCCATGACTCGGATTGGAGATTTAATGTGTGGGCATGAACTAGGATTAAATGTAATCCTAGGCATATCAAATGTAGAAGCCCACATTTGTGAGCAAACATTGCTTTGCCCGATGCAGTAGTAATCTTTTTGTGTTGGCAACATAATTCCTGACCTAATAATTGAGAACCAAGTGCAGAATATACACTTCAATAAATCTTGCTAAATTGTTTAAACAGGCATAAGTGAGACTAAGCAGACAGCACAAACTCCCTGCAGCCCACAAAACGCTTTCAAACACAGTTGTTTTTCTGTTGAATACCCAGGCTTAGAGGATGGTAGCATTGACTAGTTGTTCATTGATTATACACAATCAGGAATAATTATTCAAAAGGTCTGACATATAGGGGTTTATTTACTAAAGCCGGAGAGTCCAAAATCAGACTCCCTTCTGCATAGAAACCAATCAGCTTCCAGGTTTCATTGCCAAAGCTTCATTGAACAAGCTGAGGTTAGAAGCTGATTGGTTTCTATGCAGAAGGGAGTCTGATTTTGGACTCTCCAGCTTTAGTAAATAAACCCCATAAAGTCTTTGTATTGCCCCAGGAATTTTTTTCCCTTCGTTATTCAATATCATATTCTGGATCAGATGCGAATCTAATTGGTGGCAAGAAAGAGGCTACAGACCACTATTATTTTAGTTATTTTAACTAATGAGGGGCAATGTATGTGTATTACTAATTATAGAAGAGTGTATATACCTTTTCAGTCTTTAGAACATTCATCCTATAGTCCTTGTTCTGAACTGCACTGTACCAAAGTAGTGGGGTGCCTGCAAGGACACCACATATGGCACTATTTGAAAGTCCAAGGGGTGTAAAAAAATCACCAGTATTTTTTTATTTACCATTTCTTGTGAAAGCATCTTGTCATAAAAGTGCATGACAGCATTTCAGGGCACGAATCTCTGTGTACATTTAGAGGGTATGATAGTTTCCGGAAAAGGAAGTGCATAAACAACAGCCTTCATGGCAGGTTAACTAAGTATTTTTTATTGAAAGTTGCAGATTTGAAAATATTGAAAATTAGTTTTAAAACTACATTGTATTAAAGCTGATATGATTTTTTTTTAGTAATTGAGTTCACATCTACTTTTAAGTCAATAAATACAAGTCTAAAACCTTTTAGAATTTGTATTTTGTTTAATAACTGACATAGTATAGTTATATTTTGTGGTTGAAGGAAAAGTAAATTACCCAGTCATGTGTAGGGCCATGTTATTTTCAGTTTTATAAACTAAAAGTAACTGCTTGCATTGCATAAATATCATAGCAGAAGTTTTGCCATCTGTTATCTGGCTCATAGAGTAAGATTAATTTTTCTATTGACAGAACAGTAATGCAAAATGTCATAAGAGGGAAAAAAACACATTGAAATGAGTACCTTTGGCAAGGTCTAGTGTTTATTCCTGGTGTGTATTAATACTTGTGTTTTTCCAGGCTGAGTATTGTAGCTTAGTAATTGACATAAAGTAAATGTTTAGTATGTTGACTATTATTCAAGTGCCACAAATGACCAGTGCCTTGGGCTGACACCAACAGGAGGAGGGATACATATGCACACACACATCTATCTATCTATCTATCTATACACATACATATAGTGTGTGTGTGTGTATATATATATATATATATATATATATATATATATATATATATATATATAAAGAAAATACTGCCTTGAAAAACTATTCGTACCCCTTGAAATTTTCCACATTTTGTCATGTTACAACCAAAAACGTAAATGTATTTTAATGGGATTGTATATGGCACATAATTGTGAAGTGGAAGGAAAATGATAAATGATTTTCAAAATGTTTTTACAAATACATACCTGAAAAGTGTGCCATACATTTGTATTCAGCTCCCTTTACTCTGATGCCCCTAACTAAAATATAGTGGAACCAATTTCCTTCAGAAGTCACCTAATTAGTAAATACCTAATTAGCCACCTGTGTGTAATTTAATCTCAGTATAAATACAGCTGTTCTGTGAAGAGGTTTGTTAGAACATTAGTGAACAAACAGCATCATGAAGGCCAATCAACATACTAGATAGATCAATGAAAAAGTTGTGGAGAAGTTTAAAGCAGGGTTAGGTTATAAAAAAATATCTCAAGCTTTGAACATCTCACGGAGCACTGTTCAATCCATCATCTGAAAATGGAAAGAGTATGACACAACTGCAAACCTACTTAGACATGTCCATCCACCTAAATTGACAGGCTGGGCAAGGAGAACATTAATCAGAGAAGCAGCCAAGAGGCCAATGTTAACTCTGGAGAAGCTGCAGAGGTCCACAGCTCAGGTGGGAAAATCTGTCCACAGGACAACTATTAGTCTTTCACTCCCCAAATCTAGCATTTATGGAAGAGTGGCAAGAAGAATGCCATTGTTGAAAGAAATCCATAAGAAGCCCTATTTGCAGTTTTGTAAAAAGCCATGTGGGGGACACAGCACACATGTGAAAGAAGATGCTCTGGTCAGATGAGACCAAAATTAAATTTTTTGGCCTTAAAGCAAAATGCTATGTGTGGCGGAAAACTAACACTGCACATCACCCTGAACACACCATCCCCACCATGAAACATGGTGGTGGCAGCATCATGTTGTGGGAATGCTTTTCTCCAGCAGAGACAGGGAAGCTGGTCAGAGTTGATGGGAAGATGGATGGAGCCAAACACAGGGCAATCTTAGAAGAAAACCTGTTAGAGTCTGCAAGAGACTTGAGACTGGGATGGAGGTTTACCTTCCAGCAGGAATGGTTTAGATCAAAAGCATATTCATGTGTTGAAATGGCCCAGTCAAAACCCAGATCAAATCCAGTTGAGAGTCTGTGGGAAGACTTGCAAACTGCTGTTCACAGATGCTCCCCATCCAATCTGACAGAGCTTGTGCTATTTTGCAAAGAAGAATGAGCAAAAGTGTCACTCTCTAGATGTGCAAAGCTGGTAGAGACATACCCAAAAAGGCTTGAAGCGTAATTGCAGCTGTAAAATCCCAATAAAATACATTTACGCATGCCACACCTTTCAGGTATTTATTTGGAAAAAAATTGAAAATCATTTATCATTTTCCTTTCACTTCATAATTATGTGCTACTTTGTGTTGGAATATCACATACAATCCCAATAAAATACATTTATGTTTTTTGGTTGTAACATGACAAAATGTGGAAAATTTCAAGGCACTGTATATATATATATATATATATATATATATATATATATTGCCAAAAGTATTGGGCCGCCTACCTTTGCACGCACATGAACTTTATTGGCATCCCAGTCTTAGTCTGTAGGGTTCAGAATTGAGTTGGCCCACCCTTTACAGCTTCAACTCTTCTGGGAAGTCTGTCCACAAGGTTTTGGAATGTGTCTATGGGAATGTTTGACCATTCTTCCAGAAGCCCATTTGTAAGGCCAAGCACTGATGTAGGATGAGAATCCCTGGCTCAGTGTCCACTCTTAATTCATTCCAAAGGTGTTCTATCAGGTTGAGGTCAGGACTCTGTGCAGGCCAGTCAAGTTCTTCTACCCCAAACTCGCTCATCCATGTCTTTATGGACCTTGCTTTGTGTACTGATGCACAGTCATGTTGGAGTAGGATGGGGCCATCCCCAAACTGTTCCCACAAAGTATGAAGCATGAAATTGCTAAATATTAATTGGTATGCTGATGCCTTAAGTGTTCCCTTCACTGGAACTAAGGGGCCAAGCTCAATCCCTGAAAAACAACCCACACCATAATCCCCCCTCCACCAAACTTTACACTTGGCACAACACAGTCAGGCATGTACCATTCTCCTGGCAACCGCCAAACCCAGACACCTCCATCGGTTTGCCAGACACAGAAGTGTAATTCGTCATTCCAGAGAGCACATCTCCACTGCGCTAGAGTCCAGTGGTGTTGTGCTTTACACCACTGTATCCGATGCTTTGCATTGCACTTGGTGTTGTAAGGCTTGGATGCATGGAAACCCATTCCACAAAGCTCTCTACGCACAGTTGTTGTGCTAATCTGAAGGCCATACAAAGTTTGGAGGTATTTAGCTATTGACTCTGCAAACATTTGGTGACTATGCGCTCTGTCATTTTACGTGGCCTACCACTTCATGGCTGAGTTGCTGTTGTTCCCAGTTTCTTCCACTTTGTTATAATACCACTAACAGTTGTCTGTGGAATATTTAGCAGCAAGGACATTTCATGGATGGACTTATTGCACAGGTTGCAACCTATCACAGTACCACGCTTGAATTCAGTGAGCTTCTGAGAACAACCCATTCTTTAACAAATATTTGTATAAGCAGTCTGCATGCCTAGGTGCTTGATTTCATACACCTGTGGCCATGGAAGTGATTGGAACACCTGAATCCAATGATTTGGAGGGGTGTCCTAATACTTTTGGCAATATGGTATATATATATATATATATATATATATATATATATAAAAATCTAAATAGCACAGGAAAATACGTAGACAATAATAAAATAATAGTACGACCGCCAAACACTCAAACAGTGGACTGTATCTTTATCATACATTACCATGCCATTGCCTTTAATTAAAAAATAATTAGGTCAAAGCTTAAATGTATCTGGACTCTGTCTCTCTCTCTGTCTCCAAAAAAAAAAAAAAAAAAAGGTAAACATACAGTTGATTTTTCAGCACTTGTGAGCAGGCACTCTTGCAATTCACTTACCATGCCCCACACTATATAGCCAGGGGCTGTCATAGGCAACCTAATACATTTATTCTTTATCTACTTAGAGATAAAATTATATCTGCTTTAAATAAGCTGCTTGAAAAGAAAAGAAATAAAGCTTTACTTTACTAACTGTGATTAGTCCTAGCCTTAGTAATCCCCTTCTTCACTATGTGGGCAAGAGTAATAGCCTACATTGCAAGATGGTATATATATATATATATATATATATATATATATATATATATATATACAGTGCATTTTATGTGCCATAATGTATTAGCTTGTTCATTTAAATTACAGCACAGACTTAAAGCTATAAGATGAAGTCAGACAGAGAAATACAAATAATGAGAGTTCTATGGATATTTCTATGTACAGTACATTGCTATTCCTAGTTGTATGTGCAGATCAATCACCAGATAATTTATTATATTTTTTACAGCTTATATGGAGCCATAGTAACTATTATAATAAAGTAACCAGAGCGATTATTGACTAAACAATGACTACTGCTCAGGGGCGGACTGACAACGCATGGGGTCCCTGGGCAATAGGGGATCATGGAGCCCCTGTGTCCTTGCCCACACTCAAACCACACCCAAAAAAGGCTATGAAAGGTACCAGGGACATCTCATGGGGCACCCTACTGACCCCGGGGCCCTCGGGCAGTGCCTGAGTACCCGAATGGTCAGTCCGCCACTGCTACTGCTGTATCTTAAAGGAAGCATATCCTTGTAAAGATACTGAGGCTGTCACACTCACTTCTAATTTGGAAAATGCTAGTTGCTAGACTCAATACTTTGTGGCATTAAGCAAGAAAAAGCAAGCAGATAAGAATTTATGATCCTACTCTCAGTTTTCCTGATATGGATACTTTTCCAGGGTCAGTGAATCAAAAGAGTCTGTATAACAGCAAGGTTATCACCAATGCTAAACCCCAGATGCATTATCGAAAAAGTTTGCTTTTAAGTAAATCTACCTTTCTAATGCTTCTTGGATGATCTGTTTTAATTTTAAGCCCACGGTCCCTGTGAACTGAATGAATTAGGTGAGGTCAAGAGATCTGTCACACTCAAGCAGACATGCAGTAAAACAATAATCAGTGGCGTACACTGAAATAATTTTAGATCCGAACAGAGTTGTGTGATGCCTTCAAAAACACAAAAATAATATGGATGGAAAATACCTTTAAAACTCAGACAGTCCTGCCATTGCTGCCAATGCAAACTTAGAGGAAAAGAGATCATACTTTGAGCACATGGCAAGTCTTTAGAGCAGAAACTTATTTCTGTTTTGTTTTACAGGCTGGAATTATTAGTATTTTCCATCTTCAAATTACGTTTAGGTAGAATTGTTCCTTGGAGTAAAAAAATATTTTTTCCTAGGATGGGCATAAGAATACATTTATAAATTTACAGTTATATATTTGCCAATTGGAATTTAGAACATTTTCACATATTTACTTACAGAGGCTGCTGAAGGAACATCAGGCCTTGGAGGAAGCACAGGCACTATGGGCCTCAGTGCCCGCTATGGACCACAGTTCACCCTGCAGCATGTGCCCGACTACCGACAAAATGTCTACATTCCGGGAAGTACACTAACCCCGACCAATGCTGCAGGAAAGCGTGATGGAAAAGGTGGTGGAAACAAGAAGAAGTCGGGGAAGAAAGACAAGAAATAACCATTTTTAGAGCAGCTTACAGCAACAGGGCATAATTGTTTGAGAGCTTTTCCATCTTTAAAAAAAAAAAAAAGTATTCGGGTGAAGTTGAATGTCACCTTAAAAAGAAAAAAAAATATACATAAAATCAGTATCAAGAATGTGTCATCATTATTTCTGGCTACACATAATGTCCTTTAGCTGGACATTTGTCTGCTTTTAGCCTTTGTGATGAAAATCTTATGTTAAAAGTTAACCTCTGAAATAAGTGCCCTGATATATTCACTAATATTTTGTACTAGTGCAAGCTGATTACCTAGCTAATGTATGCACTCTTTTTACAAACTTCAATTTGATTTGCTACCACAGTTCCATCTTGTGGAATTTCTTTCATTGTATATATTCCCAGCAGAGTAGATATTTATAATTTATAAACATTCAGGTAATTAAGTGCTTTTTACCTGTTTCCCATTATTTTTCCATTGACTAACTAGTGCAACTAGTCAGTGTGCTAAAGGTAGTGATATTTCATCTGAATTAAAAAAAATATACTCTTAAAGGGCTTGGTTCATTTGAAGGCGAGCCCTGATAAAATGATAAAAATGGATATTAATACTTGCCAATATTTTAAATCCAGGGCCAAATTTTGCCAAGCTCATAATCTTTCCTGCTAGGTAATACCCTGCCCATTTCATCATCGGGTTTGGAAATATTGGTAATTATGGATAATTTGTGTTGTCATTACCTACAAGAAGTGAAGGCACCATTATACTAAAACTCATATTCCCCACCTGGAAAATTTAACTAGTCCTAAAGAAAATAGAGCTAGGTTAGCTTGCAAAGTGGCTGCCTCCACTGTGTATAAGTAATGGAAACACTTTAACTGAGTTTATTTTACTTAAATATGTAAAAACAAATATATATGTAGTGATTGTACAACTACTACTTAGCAAGAGTGTCAATGGTCTTGTGCAGTACTTCTTTTAATACTGTACTTGTTGATGTTTTGTTTATTTTCTGAAAGAAAAAAAATATGTAAGTTCCCCCAATTATGGATGAAAAGTTTCACATTATTTGATGTACAGCAAACACAATTAAAAATGTTCATGCCGACTCGCTCCTTCAGGGTGGTAAACCGGGTTCTTTACACTTCTGCACACAGAAATGCATGTCTAATTTTCACATGGTGTCTACAGTTTTCCACCAGATGTAGGGACTTTGTTGCATGTAGCCAGCATGGGGGTCATTCATTCTTTATATAGAATGGTTAAAGTAAGCCTGTGTAGTGCAGGGAAAATGTTTAAGTATATTGAGTACTTTCACTGGGGGAGGAGACCAAGACACAAACTAGACCATCCTATGTTATCGTAATTAAATGTAAATCAAAACAATTTTTACAGTTCCACTTATTTACATGAGAAACGACAAAAAAGAGAGAAAAAATGGTCACATTTCAAAGTGCCCTACTGGCTTAAGTTATGAAGCAACTAATGAACAAATAATTACTAAACCCCTTTGAACGTTAATTTTCTGAAATGTTGAGGCTTATTTATTAAGATAGAGACCAGCGTGCAAAGTGCAGCAACCCATAACATCCTATCAGAACTCATCTTCTGACTGCTAAAAGCTAAGAAAAGATAAAATTAGAATGGTTTATGTGGAATACAGCACATTGCACATGATCAATGTCATTATCCTATTATAAAATAGGCCCCTATATCAATATTGTTTGCAGAGGGAGGAAGAGTTTGGACATGGGGACACTTGTGATATATATGATGAATTTGGCCAAGTTTCTTTAGAAATTGCCTTTTTAAGGCTAATGGCGTTGCTTTTATTAATATACAGTAGTAACTTGCTTTTTAAATTGGGCCAAATTCTTACATTTTATGCCAATGTAATGTTATTCAGCATCTTGCTTTACTATATTTCTCTCTCCTTCACTTCAGTATCAGGTTAGATAAAAAAACAAAAAATGCTAAAAAAAAAAAAAGGAAGAAAACTTTCACCATCCTCCTCCATGTCTCTTGTAATAATAGTAACCATCCTCACTGCTTGTAATACTAATAACTAAGGCAGTAACGTGAGTCTTTTAGCGGTAGATGGCATTTTTGCTATTTTTCTTTCCTTTCTATTGAAACAAAAAAAGAATATGTCATTGTAGAGATACTATTGTCTTGTAAGAATGAAGTGCTTATTTCATCCCAGTAGCTAACTTGTGAACAGCAGTATTTTAATATTCTCCTATCTTTACGTGTGGTTTGTGATCTCAATGTACATGAGTTGAATTGCATCTGTCCTTTTTAATGTGTCTAATACTGAACTATATCTACATATTATATAAATATATATAGGCTTATTCCCCTCCCTGTATCCATATACCCATGTCACTGTATTACATGCAAGTTTTATACTCTGTTTTTATATTGCTTTCTTTCTTCGGGAGAAAAAAAAAAATAAATAAAATGTTTTCTTCAAAATGCCAGTGTCAGAGACCCTTTGTTATGTAGATGATTGTAGTGCTTGCTTCGTATTACACAAAGCACAGATAAGTCTTCTTATTTCCTTGGAGAGATTGCTGCCTTGCTAAGCTTGTTAGAGATGACCCATATTTCTTAATGATTTGTTTGGTATGGCTGATGGCTGCGAGCGTGCCTGAACATGTGATGTACAGCACAGTGGCCCAATAAAATGCATATTTTATCATGGAAGAGATAAGAAATAGGTAAGACCGGCGAAAAAAATAAAGCCAAAATAACTTAACCTTGATGAAGGAGGAGGTTTATTCTTCCTCTGTCTAACAGTATTTTTGCAAATGCTGGTTTTCCAGCATGTCTCTTCAGCAGTCTGTTGGACAGACTACTGTACATACTGACCAAAAGTCAACCAGTTCCTGTTGACCAGACGATTTTCGGACAGTACCTAGCTTAATACAAACTACTGAACTCCAGATATGATCTTTATTGCATAATTGCATTGTTCCATCAATGTAAGTATGAATATTTCAAATCTGAGGAGCCATGTTTTAGCATCCTCTATTGGAGTGTATTTTTTTAATGTATTTTTATTGTGACATTGATAAATAAAAGTGATGTTTTAAAATGGTAGTAAATTTGAAAAAAAGAAAAAAACTTTTCCCCTGCAAGGCAATGACATATCGTGCTGGTATGAATCGCATACTAGCATATTATGAAATACTTACCTTAAAACAAAACCCTCCAGTGGCATGCTATCACCACTGAAGGGCTTCCATTTTCACCTGGTGTTCCTCCGGGTTTGCAGGCTTCGGTCATCTGACTGGCTGAGGTGCCAAGGCGTCACTCCCGCACATGCGCGCGGGAGTCCCAAACACGGCATGGAGCTCTGAAGAAACAGCATGGGTATGTCGTTCCTTCAGAGTGCATGCGCTAGTGACGTCACAAACATCTACAGAAGTAAATATCTCCTAAACTCTACATGTTTAGGAGATATATACAGTACCTAAAGGGAAGCCGTATTGTAGGTTATAGCATGTTTAGGAAATATATACAGTATATACAGTACCTAAAGGGAAACCGTATTGTAGGTTTACCGGTAGGTAAAAGATAAACAGAACAACTTTACTACCAATTATTTTAATTTATGGTATGATTTATGACACCAAGTCCTGGTACATTTAATTGATTTGTGTTTAATATATACACATAGCAATGTGATGTCCTTACCCAATGTAGAGCAGAATAATGTATTACTATATAGATAGATACTTTTAAGTGACACTAACCTCTGGTGAAATAAATAAATAAATTCAAGTATGTAGTCATACCTCACAAAAGTCTCTCCTATTGCTCTCAGCCTCCTCCAAATCTCCAAATTCACTTTTTTGCTGCTTTGGTCTGACTTTGCTCTGATTAGAAGGTGGCTACATTTGTTTTTCATGGTGCCAATGTATGTAGGAATGTAGACACCCTCTCATGGGGTATGGGATGTGTAGTGCACATGATCTCAACTAACATCATTCCAAACAAATGTAAGTGAGTATGAAAAGGAGACGTTTGGAAGCTTACAGAAGACATTACAAGGAGGCAAAAAACACAGTAAGAAACAAATGAATGAAAAATGGATTTCAGTGTGTTTATAAATTATTTTTGTGGAATCAGGATATTATTTAGTGTTAAACCTGAACTCCAGATGCAGACCTGTACCCTACTAATTCTGCACTTCATGGTTATGTTTTTGTGCTCTTTTCCACAATTTATACTCCCAATATGATTGAAACAAGTGCCTTGCTCTCTGTAAAGTTATACTGTTTCTCATGAAAATTAAATACAAAATTATTGAATGAGAAAACTGAACTCCAGGTATGGCATACTTACACTGGTCCAGCTTTGACCAATATAGTATGTCCATTTCATATTTGAGAGCTGGGGAAGCTGACAGTCAGTCTTCAGGTTCCATGTGAGCGTCTTACCCTCTGCATGCTGACCACAGGGGATAACTTGCATGACACCACTTCCCATCATAGAATGCCTTACATTTTTTCAATGAATACAAGGAAGTCTCTGATTAAATAAGGGTAAGATTGTGATATCATCACCTTTTCTCTCCAACCCATCCAATCCGAGAACACCTTGTATTCACTTTAATAAATATAAGTTGTTTTATATGGAGCAGTGGCGAGCAAGCTACCCCCTAAGATCATTGTGCAGAGATGAAGGTATACACTTACATTGATCAAGCTGGACCAGTGTAAGTATCCAATAAAGCAGTGGTCACTAAATGGCGGACCACTGTCTGAGAACGGCCCCAGCAGCGCTGCCTTCTGGACCACCAGCCTGCAATAACAGATCCGCCGCTGAGCAGGGCGGTCGTCACAACAACATAACATCATGTGTGCGCCTGCCATTTGCAGCTCGCTCTCTTTTTGGCTCCCGCTCCCTGCCTACTCTACAGAAGCATCCTTCAGCAAGGATCCCGGCACAGCTCCTGTCTGCCCTCAAGGTAGGGTGTAGTCTTACAGGGACACTCTGATGGACACATTG